CTCCGGCTCCTCCCCGACTTTTGGGACACCCTGTATACTTGAAAATTCATGTAAATTTCTTTTTCTTTCTAATGATGTTTTAAAAATTAAGCAGTTGTGCGAATACTTATTGCTTCAATATTTTTATCGATTAATTGTTTTTTTCTTGTTAATTTCGTAACTTACATAAATAGCTATTTTTTCTTGTAATCTATCTATTCTAGAGATTTCTGAGAATATTTATAATTTCATTGTTTATAAAAAATAAGTTACAAAATTACAATTTTACATAGTTTTTTTTGGAAATTGATCGGTGTACGACTAGTTTCTCCACCCACTGTAAATAGGCGATGATTCGCGACCCGGGGTCATCGATAAGGCGAGAGTTTAAAGTTAAGAATCTGTGTCAGTTTAACACGTTGCTCGCCACGTCACCCAAATATGGATGACAGTGCTTTTCACTGAAGAAGAATTCCGAATGTTCAGTATCGAATAAAATAAATTTGAATGAAATTCTTGAATTTCGATGAAGTTACAAAAATAAATGGCACGATAAATGTTTGGTTATGTAGTTTCCAATAGTCTCTAAACAAAATTTTGATATCAGTAGAAATTTTCAAGATTAGTCTGGCAGTCAACGTCTTAAGGGGGTCCACCTGTGTAAGATTTTCAAAAAATCAAAAAATTGTTTTCTATATATTTATCATTTAGGAGTTATTACAATGACTGTCACAGAAGCATTTTATAAAATTCCGCTTAGTTCATTATTTTTCGAACCCCAAAGGTGTTCGGTTCAGCGTCGTACTACTTTCATACGAAACTTTAAACGCGTTTTTCGCGAAATCACGTTTTTGGAAATGGCGAGCAGGATTGCGCAAAATCCGTTACATGAATCGGGATGAAATTTTGTTTCTACAACTTTCAAACGTAATTGGTGGTACTGGCGGCGAGATTCATGTTAAACAAAATTGTTTCCAACGTCTATTTAGCCATTAGATAGGAGAAAAGATACCTTAAAATATCATTTTTTTAGTTCATACGCCACCCTATTAACAATTTTCAAAATTTTGTGAATATCTTATCGCCAGTACCTTCAAAATGTACTTATAAAGAAGGTGATATTTTACTTTTTTGTTTTAGATGATCGAGTACGATCAAATCCTGCTGGCCGAATGACTCTTCTACTTTTAAGTGGTCTCGTTAAAGCGCCGTCTAGGAATATCCACATATCGAAACATTGTGATAAAATCAAAAATTAATGTTAAAGCGTCGATCTACCAACTAAAAAACAAAAATTATCATAATTGCACTAGTACTTTTCTTACAAAAAATTCTTGAAAATTGCCTTGAAAATTAAACGTTACACATATGGACCCCCTTAACACGTTGAATGCGACGTTCGAATTCGTGGTTGCTACCACGCGGCGGAAGGAACGGTAGGAATGGCGGGTAGCAACAATAGAGATTGAGAAGCAAGACGGCGAAAAACACACTTTTTCTTTTCCAAGACTGAAACGGCCGAGAAGGTAAACATACCGACTAACGATGAGCCCATATAGCAAGTTTCAAGTCGAAACATCGAAAATTCAAGGGTGGGGAGCATTCTAAAAGGAAGAAAGGATGAAACGCACACCGTGGGTCTGCCGCCGCTGTGGCGAGAATTACAGAACGCACACCATGCGTCCTCCGCAGTCAACGTGTTAATAAAGTTATTTCGAAAGGACTCTTATTCTTTTCCCTTCTGCTCGTCTACAGCGGTAGTCTCTTATATACTTCTCATCTATTGGGGCCCGCTGAACCCTCTCTAGCTCGGGTACCTCGGGGTTGCTAAGCCCGTACTGTAGCTACAAACACCGCTACAGCCCCTGAGGGACTTCCGGAAAGTACAACAACAGAGTTGCTACGTTCTTTACATTGTATTTTGCTTTAATATTAACTTTAATACCACACGCCAGTCGAATATTTCTCATCGTCTGTTCGGTCGATCCTAGTATTCGTCACTAAAACGGTATCGTTCGTTGAGTTCTTTTTTTTTTTTTTGCACGAAATCCTCGTCTTTCCCAGAATAGCCCGTTGCTTACAAGAACGAGCTTCGATCGTCAAGCCTGTCTCGTTAGCGCGTTGCTAACGACACGGGCGTTCAAGCGTCCATTAATCAAATTTGCCGATAAACGAAGCTCTCGGGTTTATTGCAAACTTGGACCTCGTTTCTGTAATCGTATTTACAGTTTAAATCAGTTTTTTCTACGATCAATGGGGGATTCGGGAAAGTCGCGTCAAACGATAAGAAATTACAAATTAATCGCTTCGCTGGGCATCTTATCAACCTGAACCGTGACAGAATGAATGGACGATGGAAGTTGTGTCTGTGAGTGTTTGAACGGATCGACAATGATCGATGGATAACGGGAATAGAAACAAAGAAAGTGATATACAAAAGAAAATAGAGCGAGAGAGAGAGAGAGAGAGAGAGAGAGAGAGAGAGAGAGAGAGAGAAAGTATATAATACGTTCTGACGGAAAGTGTCTCGTCAGGAAGACGCCTCGCCTCGGAGAAATGCAATTTAACTCGGCGCGTACAACGAATGACATTCATCGAGAGGTCAACACACTTTGGCTATTCCCTGCATGTACATATATAAGAATAGAATACTATTTTATCCTACTTTGCTAGAAAATTACTTCGCCGGATGAGCTAGAATTTTTGCATAAATCATCTCGCGACGTGCAGTGTTCGCTTCGAGGCTCGTTGCCACGACATCCCAGACTGTACGCTGTACGTACAACGCGTGGTTTCAAACTATGTACTGATGACTATGAACGACACATAAAATAAATAGTATCCCACACGGGTAAAACCGCGGGATCCACGTAGTTTACATACAGTTGGATGCAAGTTTCCGGCCAAAAATAATTTTGGAACTAAATTATGTATAATAGGTGTAAAGTAGAAATACAAATGTATCGTAGTAAAGAGCTTTTATTATATTATCGAAATGTACAACTCAAAAATTCGATACAACAAGTATTAATTATTTATAACAAAAATAACAATTTTTACTTCTTCATACGTATCCGGCCAAGTTCAGTTATCGTGTTTTTTCTTCATGTTTTGTACTCGGCCGGATACGTATGAAGAAGTAAAAATTGTTATTTTTGTTATAAATAATTAATACTTGTTGTATCGAATTTTTGAGTTGTACATTTCGATAATATAATAAAAGCTCTTTACTACGATACATTTGTATTTCTACTTTACACCTATTATACATAATTTAATTTCAAAACTATTTTTGGCCGGAAACTTTTGCATGCAACTGTATATGTATCTACGATTTCATCGGATTCAGTTTTATATTAATAATTTAATGTATTCCAATCCAACAAATATACCCTTTTGAATATAGTATATAGTATAGATGCGTCGAATAAAAATCGAAACATGATGACCAATCGACAATCGACAATCGAAGATTGTCAGTAAATCCAGCAATTCCCTTGAAACTTGAAAGAAGAAACCTTAATTGCCTTTCGAGCAAGCATTCTGTCCACCGCTTTAAAGGACAACTTTGTACCGCGTAAAATTACTTTTTTCGTCGCTGCCAGAACCAAGAGATATGAAAACTATGAAAGATCAACTGTTGAGGTGGATTTGCGAAAAGCACGCAATGGATAGCCCACTAGACAGACGCATGGTTCGGGAAAAAGCGCTAGAGTTAACAAAGACATATAAAGTCGACGGTAAGTAGTTGAGTTTCCTCGATAATAATTTCCGATTGTAACTTCGCGAGAGTAAGAAACGCCCAAGTGCACTCGATCCTTTTTCCTCGTCCGTCAACCATATACGTACAACATCTCCGATCGAAACGAACCGAAACTCGACAATCGCGAGATTGAATTCCATCGTTTTCGTTCTACCTTCTTCGATATCTATCGTAAATATCATATAAAAGTAGGTATCTCTAGGTACAACACGTGCGATATTCATAGAATACGATAGAACGGTCAAGTATCGTGTACGAAGGAAAAATGAAGAATCAGTTGCGTGTACTCTAATCGTTGGATAACAAGTTCGTTATTTTTTCGTACCGAAAAAGCCCGGATACTATAGTTACAACTATGTTTATAGTTATAGATTCGTGAATTTTCTAACAAAGCCTGAGAACGAAACCGAGTTGAATGCGTTAATCGACCCGAAGATTAGGCGAGCTGTCGCGAACGGTAGATTAGGTACACGGAACGAACAATTTCAATGTCCACGTTATAGGTTTCAAGTGTTCGAACAAATGGATTACGAATTTCCTGAAGGAGCACGGTTTCTCTACAGACCTGAGCAACCGTACCGGGCCATATTTCTGCAACTACCGCGACTGGATCGACATCATGAGATCGACGATAGAAAAATACAAGCACAACGATGTGTTTCACATGGACGAGCTGACCATGTACTCCGACATCCTTCCAGCGAGGATCGCGAGTCCTCGATCTAAAGTATCCGCGGCCAATCGAATAACGATACTGATGGGTTGCAACTCTTCTGGAACGAGCAAACTACCGCTTCTGATTTGCGGACCTTACCCGTCCAGAACTACGACCAAGGGCCACCTTTACTGCCACAGCGAGGATTGTTCCATCAGCGACGAGCTGTTCACCGATTGGCTATTGGCCGTTAACGATCGTATGATCGAGCGCGATCGTACGATCCTGCTGTTTCTCCCACGAAGCAGAGCTCGCGCACTTGACGGTATAACGTTGAGGAACGTGAACCTGGTTTACCTTCCCAATGCTTTCCCAACGCACTTGCGACCGTTGCGAAGGGACGTTTTCCATTACGTCAAGATGATCTTCAGACGAAGGTAAGGCGAGTCCCGGACGGAACTAACTACAGTATTGTCGCGAAATAAGCAACTCGGTCGGGACCGGCGAGATATGCTATTCGGCTTGGCTTTGTTCTCGAGCGTGACGAGGGGCAACCCGTATACAAAACAGGGGGTTCGGTTTAGCGACAAATTAATAGGGCTGTTCAAGTATCCGAAAAAATCAAGCCGAGTTGGACTCGGCTCGAAGTCACGAGCCAAGGCAAGTACTTGATTAATAAGTCGATTAATTTTAATTATTCGTGTAATGTAAATTCTACATATCACGCTGTTACACAGCAGAGAAATCTTAAATTAATCGATATTATATCGTGTTTGGTACTATTTTCATCGGTGTAACATCAGGAATTCGGTAGTGCAATTTGTTTCTTTAACTTTTATAAAACACAACAAAAAGTGAACATATCATGACAAACATTTCACACTTTATTGCTCGGACACTTTGAGGTCCGTCGTGGGTTAAAGTCGGCACACGTGCGCTTTGTATGGTTCAACCCTTGGTTTATGGCTTTCAGTAATCACCCGATTTCACTTCATATGCATCGTATTATTACGGGAATAACGCCGATGGATTCCTTACGTTTTCCTGATGAAACCACGCTACTAAACACTATGTAAATCGGACTATTTTTAACAAAGATAGGCAAAAAGCGTGCAAATCATTTTTTCCGTATAATTTCCTTCTAAATAATCCGAATTGTATCGTGTCTGGTACCATTTTCATTGGGATAACATAAGGAATCGATCGGTAATACATCCGCTAAGATCCGATAAGAAATACGGAAAATGATGGTCGACTTTCTTTGGGTCTAGTTTGCTACGTCCTTTTTATGATACCATTGTTGCTCGGGGGCGGATTAACATGTGTACTCGGAAAAGCTTGAAACTATTCGAGTTGCCCGGTTCTTTCGGGCCGCTTGGTTTTTTCGGACCGCTCTTGTCTATTCGGGTAGCTTGAAAAATTCAAGTTACTTGGTTTCTTTCGGGTAGCTTGAATTTTTCGTGACTTCGAGCCGAGTCCAACTCGGCTTGATTTTTTCGGCTATTTGAACAGCCCTATTTGAAAGCCGCTTGAATATTCGGTCTTTCCAGCAGTTCTACAAACTATAGAGTGATCGCTCGAGAACAGGTATTATTTTTTGGAGAACGATAGAAGATAACATGCTTTTTCATTTTACCAGTAGTAAAATCGAACGAATGGAACGTATATGTATGTACAGTAATGTCTGAGGATGGTAAATAACGCCGGAATTATGTCGTGTTTGGTCTCATTTTAATCAGGAGAATATCAGGAATCTAATGGTAAAAGTTTTACAACAAAAAGGTTTCACCGTTGCATTACATTGTCTCGCTGACATATGCCCTGGTGTTTTCGCTTCGTCCTCTTCCTCTATTCGCTGTCCTTCTCTACGTTCGAAGCTCGTCGGCAAACATCAGAGAATATACGAACTCTACGATAACTGCACAAGGTCAGTTCCCGAGCTTGTGCAGTTATGGAGACATTACTGTACAACTAACAGTAGTATTTCGGAGAATACGCACGCCAGAGAAAGAGAAAACATTACACCTATTTTGTCCTCTTTCCACTAATCTGTTCAGTTGGCCGTGAAACATTTATGGCTTCTCGTTTTCACCTCAAATAAAAAGGCGGGGATAGCGAGTTGCTTATTTCGAGACAATACTGTAGCAACTTCCCCTACAGTTGACAGATGTCTCGTTCCGTAAGGTTGTAACGAGTTCGGAACATTGGCGTTCGCGTTTCCGTTGGTTAAAGGTACGCGGCACGTTTGGAACGACGTACCTCCGAATGGAACCTTCGCGACGTCTTGGAATCCTTGATCGAGGGTTGGGAAAGAGTACCGCGCGAAATCGTAATATACGGTTTCCAAAGGACACGTTTCAGAACCGACAACTGCTTCATGCAGATCGATTGCGACTGCTGGCCAACACTGAACACGGGCGTTTCGTTCAAAAGATTCGTCACGTTCGACGACGATCTCTCGGACGAACGCGTGTCCTCCGAAAGGAACAACCGATATCACGGCTACAATCTCAGGGCTGACGCCAAAAACCTCCTACAGGTGAAAACTAATTGTAAAGGTCGATTCAGACTATACGACACGGACCGTCACGTTCCGGCAACGACACGACAAAACATTAAAACGCGCGTTATCTTAACAGACGCCGACCTGAACATTCCGTCAACGTGAATGTTTTATCGTGTCGGTGCCGGAACGTGACGGTCCGTATCGTATGGTCTGAATCGACCTTTAGAGCCCCCGCAGACTGCAGACTGCAGACTTTCTATCGGCCGATAGTTTAATCGGGTTCTTAACCCTTTGCGCTCGGCTGGCGCCTCTATGGCGACATATGTCATTTAAAAGTGATTTTTTTGAACGTACAATTTCAATTTTACTTATATCAGAATACAATTAATTATTAATTGAAATAATAATGCATTAAGTCATGAATGTTTGTAGATGTTTCTTTTCGAAGCAGAGTTTTTGCTTTTACAGAAATTTATTATAATACCGAATTTGATTTTATAGAAAAATGCCTCGAGCGCAAAGGGTTAATCAGCATGAAGATATATGCAAGTGCGCACATTACAACAATCCGGTAACGGCCGATAAATAAGTTTGATGGGCCACACGATTGCATTCAAACTAATCCATCGACGAACTATCGGCCAACTATTAATCAGTATGACGGCTTGCAGCCGCGCGCACACATGACGATTGTTTTCTTGCTAACTCGGCGGATAGTTATCGGCCGCAGAAAGTCTGCAGTCTGCGGGGAGCCTAACCATCGATCACCGATCGATTACTTCTGGGTTGTCCGAAAAGTTTCTTTCGCTTTATTAATAAGTAATACATGCACAATATTTTATGTTTTATGTTACATTACTGAATTGTCCACGATTCATTTTGCTCCATTACTGTTACAACATGAATATCTATGAAATTAGATTGTCTATTTATATAAACACGACCACATCAAATAATTGAGTGCAACTCGCGAAAGAAACTTTCGGGACAACCTAATATATTATAGATAAGTAAATAAGTAAATGTCACCGATACAGATTGATAACGAGGACAGCGTCGGTTTGACATTGGACCAAGTCGAAAACGCTGACGAGTCGGTTATGGTAAATCGACCGGTATCGAATCAAAATTCCACTCCTTCGTCTTCGATTTGTCAACAAGCCCGGGACATTTCTACACGGCGACGGTCCAGATCTCCAGAATTGGACGGTTCTGGAGAACATTTCAAAGCTGACGGTAAAAACGAGAAAAGAATGAAAACGGAGCACGACTGGTCGAAGCAGTACGAAACTACTTTCGTTTTCGGCTCCCCGAATGCGAATGCGAATGTTAACGCGACCGCAAACACCTCGAATCGGAAAAATTGCTCCGCGGAGCAGCATCGAGACGACAAAAATATTCTCGATTCCTACATTTTCAACGCAACACCGTCATCCGCCTCTCCGAGATACTAAACGACCAAGTTCATCTTTCTTTCGAAATATAATACAACAGATTTCCCATAACCCAGGCGAACGAATATATATACATTTCCGTAAAAAAGTCTCGGGACTTACTTCTGTGTTGTTTCTATATGTACGTTACGATAAGTACGAAAATATTTGCGAAATTCCACAAAAGTGTATTATTCCATACCAAACAACAGAAAATAGATAGTAATTCTGCTTGAACGTCTGCGTTTGTATTTCGATCTCGTTTGCCACCAGTTGTTTCCTTTCTACTATAATTAGACGGTGCATAATTGCACATCCATAGACCCGTCGCACGGTTCGTGGTAACGATTTTTGTCCTTATCGTTTAACCGACCTCTTTCTTCTCTCCGGGGACACCTATCGCAAAATACCTAGAAAAATAAAATTTTCTTCTTATGAATCGAAACATTGTTTCTTTTTTCATTGCATTAAATTACATTACATTACATAATGGTGCGTTACGTTGCGTTAAAGATTATATCAAACAACGCGTGCACGATAACGCAACTGCACGATTTCGCTAATGCAAACATATCACTTGAATGTTTCCTTCCTACGATTCCACGCGGGTATACCTACACTTACGCATGTACACTCCCAGACAAAAAGATAGCACAGGTGTGCTATCTTTAATATCTCGTATTAAGATTATGCTAGCGTGAAAACTCGTGAGTTATATCTAAAACGTACCTTCTACGAATATGTAAACATAACATAGGTTGACTTTACTTCAATGATTTCTCTTAATTCGAAGAGAAGCACATAATTCAACACAGACAAAATGATAGCACACTTGAAAAATAAAGATATATATTTCATATAACACCACTACCACAACAAAAGTATACATATTTCTTAGAATAATATATATACAAAACTATATTTTTCTAATAATGCGTAGAACCCCCTTTGTTTTCTGTAATTTCCACCATCCTTTAAGGTAAAGAATTACATATATAGTTATTTAATTTTTATTTGTATTAAATTTTCCCATTCGGTTATAACGCAAGTTTTTAATTCACTTATATTTGAAAATCGTCGGCCTTCGGCATACATTGCTTGCAAAAGCATCGCCCAGCAATTTTTGATGATATTATTGTCGAGTGCGCGCGCCGGCCATTGACGAGTGGAAATATTCTCCTTAAAAAAATATTCCTTAATAATTTTAGCAGCATGTGTTGCAGCATTATCTTGCTGAGATATATATGGTGTAACAGCAGTGCGTTCTGCATACGTATAAATTTGATTTTTTATTAGTTTAAGGTAACGAATGCTATTCATTTTGCTCTGAATAAACTTAATTTCTGTTTTCCCTTGATATCCGTTAACAGCCCAGACCATATTACTCCATCTCCACACTTTTGACGTCGATTTTTGTTAGTGGTTGTTTACGAACATTGTAATAATAATACGTACATCTGTCTGGGCCATCAAGGGTGAAGCGTTTCGCATCCGTAAAGATGACTTTTCTTCAAGTCTTCTTCCAAAGTACATGTGCATTTGCAAATAACAACCGTGTCTCCTTGTGTCTTGCGTTTAGTGATGGTTTCGCCATTAATCTAGCTTGATTTATAATGCCTAGTCTGGAGTCTTCATGGCGAACATTTTGCATATTTGTTGCACGCCAGCACGTAGCACGAGAATTGGAAGCAGCACGTATTATTGCTCGTGTATCGCGTTCAGATAATGCTGCTTGGCCTTCCTGTACTTTTATTTTTTCCATATGCACTTGTATATTTCAGGAAATTATACAATAACTCTTCAAGTGCGACTAATTTCTTTTGGAATTTGAGTAATGGATAAGTTTTGTTTCCGCAGAGCTAATATTACACTAATGTCACTTTCACTAAGCTTCTTGTCACGACCCATTACGAGGATAGCGATATAACAAAGCTCTAGAAATTGAACGTAATAACTCCATGCAAATTCACGGAACACTAAAGAATATGTAAACCTAGTTCAAGTGTGCTATCATTTTGTCTGCGTCGGATTGTGTATTTCTCTTCGAACTAAGGGAACTCATTGAAGTAAAGTCAATCTATGTTATGTTTACATATTCGTAGAAGGTACGTTTTACATATAACTCAGAGTTTTCACGCAAGCATAATCTTAACACGAGATATTAAAGATAGCACAGATGTGCTATCTTTTTGTCTGGGAGTGTATAACAGTTTCGTATGGACGATCACGTTCGTGCAAAGACTGT